ACGGCTCAAAGGAGCTGACCTGAACTACAGTGACCTTCAAAAGAAGACCAAGCTGCTGGCCTTACTTTCGGACTCATGGTCCTCGCTCATCATCAACCTTAATCGAGATCTGCCCCGTCTCTCACTCGAAGATGTGAAGCGGGAAATCTTACAAGAAGATTTCCGCCGTCGCGAATTGGCGGGTCCCGATGGTGCCGGAGTTGCAAGCATGGGCCGTGGGCACGGCCGTGGAAGGGGCAGAGGGCGAGGAGGAAGATTTGGCAGCAGTAACTTCAATGGAGGCCGTGGTAATGGAGGATATGGCAGCAACAACAACAACAATGGCTACGGGCGTGGGCGCGGTCGATTTGATGGCGAATGCCACTTTTGATGGTGATTTTATCTTGCAGATCCAAGAACAAGAGCTCAAGATTTCAAGCCCAAGGGACGCGGATAAATATTAAATAGTGAAAATAGTAAAGTTATTTCGTGAAGTGTTACATTCACTTGGAATAGCCCCTTGGAGGGTTGGTTTCGAGACTCTTCATGGTTGGGGACTCTGTGGTGGTGTACCACCAACCTGGACCTCGGCTCTTGGGGTATGTAGAGGCTGGGAACCATCTCCCTCTCGAACTCTTCTTGCTAAGTTTGTACTTCCAAGACTATAGTGGCTGCTATACCTCCTGCCAGTAAAACTGCCATAGCGTCGTCAAAGCTTCATGGAATTTCATGATTCAACTTGCTACTGATAGACGACAGCAACGCGCTCTAGATCCAACTTACACATCACAGTTTGATTCAAAGACCAGATCGTTATCAATATTTGAAGCCGTCTGACGGAAATCCGACTGTGCTCTCTATCTCTCATTATAGGCACATCTAAGCCTATTGTGATTATAACACCTCCTGGCCACGTACGTCCCGCTGGCCCCTAAGAGCCCCGTTGACCCGTTAGAGCCCTCGTGGCCCCGTACGTCTCGCTGGCCCCTAGGCGCCCTGCTGGCCCGTTCGCGCCCTCTTGGCCTCGTATGCCCCGCTAGCCCCATGCACCTCGCATGCCCCGTTAGCACCCTCCTGGCCCCATACGTCCCGCTGGCCCCTAGGCGCCCCGCTGGCCCGTTAGCGCCCTCTTGGCCCCGTACGCCCCACTAGCCCCGTTGCGCCCTGCTAGCTTCGTGCGCCTCGCAGGCCTCGTTAGCGCCACGCTGGCTCTGTCGAGCCTCACTTGCCCCGTGTGCCTCGCCGGCCTCGTACGCCCTGCAGGCTCCTTAGCGCCCCGCTGGCCCGGTAGCGCCCTCCTGGCCCCGTCCGCCCCGTACGCCCTAGCCTTAGTGCCATGCCTCGCCGGTTTCGTCGTGCCCCGCTGACCCCTGTGCGCCCTTGCTGGCCTCGTGCACCTTACTGGCCCCGTGCGCCTTGCTGGCCCTGTGCACCTTGCTGGCCCCGTTCCTGCCCCGCTGGCCCCCTAGCGCCCTGCTGGTCCCTTGCGCCCCACTGGCCCCGTTTGCGCCAGCTCTCGTTCCCGCCGTGGCGCCTTGGATCCGCGTCGTCGTGCCACTGTGTCGACGTGCCGCCGTATCGCCGTGCCGCCGTTTCGCTGAGGACGTGTGATGGTGGACGATGTGCTGCGCCTGGCCGCCAGACCCTCCCCATGCTTTTCCCTGACCTAGCGGCCTTCCCCACTGTCGCTGACCTAGGCACTCAGGGGCGCTCGAGTGCACTGTCCCCGTGCACTCGAGGCTAGCTACCGCGCCACTAGCAATGAGGCCCAGCTCACTACCTTCCCGCCACCACTGTGTGCTACCCTTTACCTCATAGCCACGCACCTTCCGGACCACTTAGCCACTGCCCGTGACCACTTCCTTAGTCAGCACCTTGGTGACCTCACCCTTACCGCCTTTGTCACTGCCCTATCCGAGATGGCGACTCGCCAGCGTACTATCGCTCAATCGAGTGGTACAGTGGCAGTCCCTATCTTTTAGGGCTGTGCACCCTCCCTGTCCACTTACGCTGACGTTTCTGCCGCTGTTGCCGAGAAAGCCCCTGCTGCTGAGACCGCCTCTGCGGCCTCAGTGCAGCCGCGTCAACATAGGGGCCGCCGCCCCAAGGAGGGGCGTGGTGGAGGTCCGGGTGGTGGGGGTGGTGGAAGTGGGGGCGGGGACAGCGGTTCCGACGAGGGGACCGGGGCTGGTGCCCCCGAATAGCAGCAGCAGCAGCCGCCACAGCAGCAGCAGCAGCAGTCATGGGGCCGCCTCCCGCCGGGGTGGCCCGGTGCCTCTGGTGGTGGTGGCCGCGATGGCGGCCCTCGCAGCTCGGTGTCGGGTGGCAACTCCAGCGCTGGGGGTTGCCAGTACCAGCTCTAGACCGGCCCCTTCCGTGGCACTGTGTGTGGTAGTCTGCACCCTACCACCTGCTGCTTCTGCTGCCTCGACGACCTCTTTTGCCGCCGCTTCGGCCCAACGTCGGACCTCCCCAACTTGTTCAGTCTTGTGCGTCGTGGTGTGCCTGTTTTTGAGTTAGACATGGATCAGATTTGTTTTGCTTTGCATTCCCTGCATGCAGATGCCTCTATTGTGACCAGACATTATTACCCTGTGTTGCCGAGTTTATGTGTGCCACAAGGGTCTAATCTAGACTCCCCTGCTGCATCAAGCGTAGGAACTTCTGCTTTGTTTAGTCTAGGCTCCACACTCTCTCCTCCGCTGGCTGCAGCTTCCGCTTCGCTCTCCTTCACGTTTGACTTCGGCACGTCTACCTGCTTCTTCTGCGACCATACTGAGCTCACACCGCTTGCCGCCCCTGCTGTTGTCGCGCTTGCTGGCCCCTCCTTGGGCCCTGTAATTGCTCGTAGCTCCACTACCCTTCCCTGTCCGGCGGTTCCCTCAAGCTCCCTTACGGGCCTACACATCCCCTCCCTTACGGCAGTTGGTGTCTGCTGTCTTCAGGACCTCGGCGTCACCACTACGTTCCCTCTACCGACGACGCCACAAATACCCCCCTCAGCACGTTCCCCCGGAACCCTCGGTCTGGCATGTTTACCCTCGACACCAAGTCCCCCTTGGTGAGGGCGCCCCCCCAGGTGCCTGCGTCTACTCAGGTCGCTGCAGCCTACTCGTGTCGGTCGCTCACTCACCCGTCGCTTCTGTGGCACCATCGCCTAGGTCACCCTGCACTCCCTCATCTGCGTCACATGTCCCAGTATGGTCTTGTCCTAGGTCTCCCTGCGTCGCTCCGTGCCCTCCCTCCCTCGCCTGTGCCCCCGTGCACGCCTTGCATCGAGAGCTAGTTGCGCCATGCTCCTCACTCCCCCTCGCCTCGCCCTACCACTGCGCCACTCCTGACCCTGCACCTGAACGTCTGGGGCCCATCCCCCGTCCCTAGGCCGCGTCGAGAGCGCTACACACGCTACACCACGGTGTTTCCTCTAGAGCAGAAGGTCGACGTGCCTGACGTTCTTATCCCATGGGTCGTAGGTGCATGCGTCCACCGCGGTCTTCCTGTGCTGTGTCTCCACTCCGGCCGTGGTGGCGAGTTTGCCTCAGGTCGGCTTGGCCAGTTCTGTCGTGCGGAGGGCATCACCCAGTCGTACACCCCGCCGGAATCCCCGCGGCAGAATGGGGTCGCTGAGCGACACATCTGTTTGGTCATGGAGGTGGCTCGTAAATCGATGATCCAAGCCAGTGCACACCATTTTCTGTGGCCGTTCTTTCACTACGCCGCTCACCAGCTTAACCCGTGGCCACACTCTCAGCGGCCGCAGCTTTCGCCGACCCTTCTCTGGACCGGGTTCCCTGGTGACGCGTCTGCATTCCACGTCCGGGGTTGCCTGGCTCACGTTCGTGCCTATGGCACAGACAAGCTCACTGCCCGCACAGTCCCTTGTGTCTTCCTAGGTTTCCCCCTCGACTCATCCGACAAGCACTTTTACCACCCGTCGTCCCACCGCTTTTTTCACTCGCGTAACGTCACCTAGGACAAGTCTGTCTCCTTCTACCATCACTTTCCTCACAGAGGTCTCGTGGTTTTCCCGCCCCTGTTTCTGGTTCCCGCTCCCCTGGTAGCCTCTGCTCCTCTCCCCCCCCGTCCTGCCTCATCTGGTGTGTCTCACGTCACTCCCCTCCCGTCGGTTGTCCCGCTCGAGGAGTTGTCTGACTCTGGTGGTCGCGCGGCTCCGTCCTCGCCACCGGTCTCTGCCCCAGTGTATCCTCCTCCGTTGTCGCCGCAGCAACCATCGTCGCCACCGCAGCAGCAGCTACCATCGCCAACGCTGCAGCCGCAGCCACAGCAGTCGCCGCTGCGGCCACAGCCGCAGTCGTCGCCGCCGCAGCAGCAGCTGCCGCAGGGGTCCACGGGTCATGGGGTGGCACCGGTGCTAGAGAGGGTTCGCGTTGAGGGTGTCTTGGCGTGGAGCTTCTCGAAGGTAGATGTGGTGCAGCTGGAGGTTCTAGTGTCATCGTGGAGCCGCAGCAGCAGCAGTCGCCACCATTCCGGCCCTTCGCCTCCTCGGTCTTCCTTTCCCCGTCCCCCCGCCTGCGCCTCCTTCACCGCCACCTCCCCTGCCTCTCTACGGCCCTGAGCGCCAGAGCTGTTAAAAAACATAACACAAGCCCTGGTTCAAAACCTAGCGAGGACCCTGGCCTGGACTTCCGAAAGTCAGGCCCGAACTCGATGTTAGCGAGGCTCAGTAAGGAAAGGGGCTTTTCCTTACATTGGTCTTGGGGCTACACTATGAGTCCATTCGTTGAAACTGTATTTTCACGCAAGCATCACAGAAGGGGGTGTGTGATTTTACATTTTTGTTTTCATAAGTTCTTATCGCCACCACTCTATACCACGGCTTGGCTTTAATACACCCAACCAAGCCGTTTTGAGCCTCGTTATGATTTCAAAATGGAGGCTTGTTCAAACTATATCTTATGTGGCCTAAGGTGAGCATGACAGCACACAATCATCACACCAAACTGCTAACCATATAGGCTGCATGAGTGGTGGAGCTCTTGTCCTGCTGCAAAAGATGCATTTGGAACAAATATATTTTATTGAGGCATCACTAGAAAACATGGGCATGCATTTTATTGGCAAGGTTGATCGCATGAGGCATGCACGCCATCACCAAGGCTACTTGCAAAAGAGAAGGAGCCAGGCCAGCAAGCACTGCCACGGACACCAGCCAAGATGCACGGCTGAGAGCCAATCCTCGTGCCTTAGGCAGGAGGCATGTTGATCAGCTGGGGGGGGTCGTGGCGACGGGCTGGGTAGTGCCTTGCAAGGGAAATCAGCAACCGCGGAGCCCATGCACACGAAGAAGACGACGAGCTGTGCCGATCGGTGCCGCCTTGCTGCCGGGTGCTCCGATGGGTGCTGGCTCGCTCCCGGGTGCTCCGATGGGTGCTGGCTCGCTCCCGGGTGCTCCGATGGGTGCTGGCCCGCTCCCGGGTGCTCCGATGGGTGCTGGCTCGCTCCCGGGTGCTCCGATGGAAGCTGGCTCGCTCCCGGGTGCTCCGATGGGTGCTGGCTCGCTCCCGGGTGCTCCGATGGAAGATGGCTCGCTCCCGGGTGCTCCGATGGGTGCTGGCTCGCTCCCGGGTGCTCCGATGGGTGCTGGCTCGCTCCCGGGTGCTCCGATGGGGGCTGGCTCGCTCCCGGGTGCTCCGATGGGTGCTGGCTCGCTCCCGGGTGCTCCGATGGGTGCTGGCTCGCTCCCGGGTGCTCCGATGGGTGCTGGCTCGCTCCCGGGTGCTCCGATGGGTGCTGGCTCGCTCCCGGATGCTCCGATGGGTGCTGGCTCGCTCCCGGGTGCTCCGATGGGTGCTGGCTCGCTCCCGGGTGCTCCGATGGGTGCTGGCTCGCTCCCAGGTGCTCCGATGGGTGCTGGCTCGCTCCCGGGTGCTCCGATGGGTGCTGGCTCGCTCCCGGGTGCTCCGATCGGTGCTGGCTCGCTCCCGGGTGCTCCGATGGGTGCTGGCTCGCTCCCGGGTGCTCCGATGGGTGCTGGCTCGCTCCCGGGTGCTCCGATGGGTGCTGGCTCGCTCCCGGGTGCTCCGATGGGTGCTGGCTCGCTCCCCGGTGCTCCGATGGGTGCTGGCTCGCTCCCGGGTGCTCCGATGGGTGCTGGCTCGCTCCCGGGTGCTCCGATGGGGCTGGCTCGCTCCCGGGTGCTCCGATGGGTGCTGGCTCGCTCCCGGGTGCTCCGATGGGTGCTGGCTCGCTCCCGGGTGCTCCGATGGGTGCTGGCTCGCTCCCGGGTGCTCCGATGGGTGCTGGCTCGCTCCCGGGTGCTCCGATGGGTGCTGGCTCGCTCCCGGGTGCTCCGATGGGTGCTGGCTCGCTCCCGGGTGCTCCGATGGGGGCTGGCTCGCTCCCGGGTGCTCCGATGGGTGCTGGCTCGCTCCCGGGTGCTCCGATGGGTGCTGGCTCGCTCCCGGGTGCTCCGATGGGTGCTGGCTCGCTCCCGGGTGCTCCGATGGGTGCTGGCTCGCTCCGGGTGCTCCGATGGGTGCTGGCTCGCTCCCGGGTGCTCCGATGGGTGCTGGCTTGCTCCCGGGTGCTCCGATGGGTGCTGGCTCGCTCCCCGGTGCTCCGATGGGTGCTGGCTCGCTCCCGGGTGCTCCGATGGGTGCTGGCTCGCTCCCGGGTGCTCCGATGGGGGCTGGCTCGCTCCCGGGTGCTCCGATGGGTGCTGGCTCGCTCCCGGGTGCTCCGATGGGTGCTGGCTCGCTCCCGGGTGCTCCGATGGGTGCTGGCTCGCTCCCGGGTGCTCCGATGGGTGCTGGCTCGGTCCCGGGTGCTCCGATGGGTGCTGGCCCGCTCCCGGGTGCTCCGATGGGTGCTGGCTCGCTCCCGGGTGCTCCGATGGGTGCTGGCTCGCTCCCGGGTGCTCCTACGGGTGCTGGCTCGCTTCCAGGTGCTCCGACGGATGCTGGCTCGCTCCCGGGTGCTCCGATGGGTGCTGGCTCGCTCCCGGGTGCTCCGATCGGTGCTGGCTCGCTCCCGGGTGCTTCGATCGGTGCTGGCTCGCTCCCGGGTGCTTCGATCGGTGCTGGCTCGCTCCTGGGTGCTTCGATCGGTGCTGGCTCGCTCCCGGGTGCTTCTATCGGTGCCCCTCCCACGGTGCAGGAGAAATCAAGTACCGTGGATCCCCTGAAACCACAGAAAACCAACGCGTTGCACAACTCATATATGCCTTAGAGGCTCTGCAACACTCTTATGCCTATGGCACAGCAGGGTGAGGGTGGGAAGTGGGGGTGGCCAGTGAGGGTGGCGAGTGAGGGTTGCGAGTGACGGTGGCGCAACAGGTGAAGCTAGATGCACACAGAATTCGGGGTTGGAATTGGGTACCTTGTTAGGCCGTGATAACCAAAAGTTCTCGAGCTGTCCCCGGAGTACGCAAAGATGATGTTGGACGGGCCCGCCAGCTTCACTGGCACGTTTCCAGATCCCTCCGTGCGAGTGAATCTGCAGCCAACAGAAATATTACCATGGGAGATCGATAGGTGGCTATAAGTTCAGTCTAGGACCAGAATGAAAGGTTTAAGAAGGGCACGGGGCACGTCTGCAGCGCACTCACTCGAGGATATAATCGTGATGTTTCAGCTCGCTTGATCGCTGCTCTCGTTACAGTCAACACTCTTGCTACAATCGCCACTCACTCGAGGATAGTCGCGGCGCCTGTCACCGCACGGCCCTTTGCCCCCCCGAGGAAAGAGCTCATTTCCCCAACGCGCTCCTGGCCGCCGGCGGAGGTCGACACGAGCTTATAAGCCGCCGGCAGGCCCGACCCGTTGACCTCTGTGCCGTCCGCCGCCCGTTCCTCGAGATTGCCAACCACCGCGTCGCTGCCGGCCATGTTGCCGTCCGGCGACCACCCCACTGCCGCCCAGCCGGAGGTGTACGTCTCGAGGGCGAGGTGGAGCTCCGTCGAGTTGGGCGTCTTCCAGTGGAGAAAGAGACTGGGGGCGGGCGTATTTTCGAGGGGGCAAGGGGAGAAAACAGAAGAGCATGCAATTTCAGTCGAACGTTCACAAATGCGAGGTAGGTCGAGTGGCGTCCAGCCGACAAAGGTGCATTTCTGCCTAGTAGGGCGCGTGGGCGATCCACGCATTTGAGGTCGCTCGATGCGATTTCTGCAAAGTTTTTCTAGGGAGTAGTTGACGTCAGCAGCTGAGCGCAGCTTTCAGTGAGCGGCGCCGCCACTCTCGGTCGGAATTGAAAGAGAATCGACGGAATGCGACACCAACCAAAAGAGCAATTCAGGGAGAGCGCACCTGTCAGTGAGCTGCACCTCCACGTCGTATCCATGGAGAGTCGATACAACGCAGTTACTCTGCGCCGCCGCACCCGACGCGAAGAGCGCGCCGTAGAAGGCCACGGCGAACAGCACCGCCGCGAAAGCCGGCGCCATGGACGGAAACTTTCCAGCCACGACGATTGCGCGCCGAGTTCGGGTTTCTTACTCGAAGAACCCCTGGGGGTGCAGCTGACGAAGCTCGCGAAGCTAAGCGACGCTCGCGAAGCTAGTAAGCGTAAAGCTGACGTGCGGGAATTCGAAGCAGGCTTGCGAAAGACCCGTTTAGGAGCGTAGCAGCTGCGCGCGGGGATCAGATCTGATGAAGATTACCGAACTCTGATGAGAGTATGTAGTAGGGGTAGGATCTAGTACGTTCAGTAGAGGAGATGTGCTGGAACTGAGAAGGTACCGAAGTATGGGTATGAAGTATGTAGTATATCGTATGGGTACGGTTGAGGATCTAGTAGTACGCTGCTCCGTAGAGGAGATAGTGCAGGAACTGAGAAGGACGTGCTCCTAAATACCCCCAGTACCGAGAGCGGGATTCTCTCGGTAGGAATGCCTACGGGAGTCGCTCAGTGAGCGGGTTGTAGCTAACATTGTCGGGCGTTCGGCATTGCGCACACTTCCTAAAATTACAAGTTAAAACAATTGCGGCTCCAGAAGAGTTCCACCCATCATGGCTGAACGTCGTCGGGCATTTGGCGCTGCGGCACACTCCATCCCATTTCCCATTGCCCATCCCATCCCATCCCATTCCATTTCCCATTTCCCATTTCCCATTCCAATAATTGCTCGCCCGGTGGAATTCGACGCATTCTTGCTCCAATTTTCCGTGTCGCGGTTCAGGAAGGTTTGCCCAGCGAGGCACGGGGGATTCACAGATGCTCGCGTATGATTGGCTGTAGCGTGGAATGTCAGCTCGGGTCGAACCAGAATATGCGCTGTTCTGAAATCGGTACGGATACAAGCTTCCAATCTGTAGTACAGAACAACAGATAACTCTAAACTTTAGCGCGCGCTTTTATGGGCCACAATGACGCAAATAACTTATGGTGCTTGCTCCCTATCCTTTACAGGCGCAGGCCATCTGTCAGTGGGTTAGCATCAGTTAATTTGAGACTGCTTCCGATTTTAGGTGCGACGCGGATATCTGTCACATCTGTCTCTCCAGACTCCTCCAACTAGCCTGCATCCTGATTGGCTTCCCATCCCGCCAGCCAGCTGTCCTCCCCTTCATCTCCCTCCCCATTTCCTTTTCCTTGACCCCCCTCGCTCTCCTCTCCGTCTTCCCCTTCACCTTCACCACCCTTCGCGGTCCGTTTATCATTCCTACTTGCATCATCCCCAGTCCCTCTCTCATCATTCCCCATCCCTCCCTCGTCATCCACAGTCTTCTCATCATCCTCACTCCCACCACCCTCTTGAGTGGGAGACCCACTGCTCTCACTGCCGACATCAGCCCCATCAGCCCTCAACTCCCCCTCAACACCTCTTCCACTATTTGTTTTGCTGTCACTGCCGACATCAGCCCCACCAGGTCTCGAATCCCCCCCACACCTCCTCCTCCATAACTGCTCTCATTGCCTGCAGCAACTGTAGCAGACTTGTCATCATGCTCTTCTCCTCTACCCTCCCCTTCACTATTGTCACACTCACTGTTATTAACCTCATCTCCCCTACTATCAGCCATACTACCCTCATCTCCGTCATTATTCGCTCTCTCTGCAGGGCCCACATCACCACTTGCACTACCAACCTCAGGTCCTTTGTTACTCAAACCCTCACCATGCTGTCGTGTGTGTCGAGATGAAGTGTCACATTTTGGAGAATTTGTCGATGACGACGAGGATTGCGTCATGACCGCCTGTGATAGTTGGTAACCCGGTTATGAAATCCAGGCGAACCACTTGCCATGGCTTTTCTGGAGAGGAAGAGGCTGTAGCAGTCCTGCCTGTTTCTGCTTGCTGCTCTTCATCCGTTGACATGTCGTACACGAGGTGACAAATTGCTGGACGTTGTCTGCCATGTGGGGCCAGTAGTAGTGCTTTGCAATACCGGTGAGCGTTTTGTTGCTTCTGAAGTGTCCCGCATATAGAACATCGTGGTATTCTTAGAGTAGTAATTGGCGCAAAGGAGGGTAATTGGGTACCCAGATTTCCGTTGATCCCTTCCGCTACGCGATGTCACTGTCCCACTGTAGCACGTGTCGTTTTGCCGCCAAAGGAATTTCGGAGTCGATGGCGTACCCGTGTGTGAAGAGTCCCTCGAGGAGTGGGCTGATCTCTTTGACCTGGATTGTGGCAACGTGTGCAGGCCGACTGAGAGCGTCTGCTTCGTTTTTGTGGCTGGGCTTGTACACGATGTCATACTGGAAGTGTGTCTCAAGGAAGTCGATCCATCGCACCTGCCACCTAGAGATGTTTGGTTGTGTCTTCAAATATTTCAGGCTGCATTGGTCGGTGTAAACGGTTGTTTTCCGTCCTTCGAGAAAACATCTCCACGTTTTGAAGGCGATGATAATAGCAAGGGCCTCCTTGTCGTGTATCGGGTAGTTTAGTTCTGCCCCGTGTAGTTTCTTGCTGAGGTAGGCGATTGGTTGCAGTCCATTCCCCTGGTCTTGCATCAAGAGTGCTCCCACTGCCTAGTCACTAGCGTCAGCTTTGATGACGTAGTCGCGTTCGGGGTCTGGCAAGATGAGTACGACTGCGGATGTGAGTGCTTGTTTCAGCTGCTCCACGACTTTCTGATGTTTTGGTTCCCACTTATAGGGCGTGTTCTTCTTCAGCAGACTCGTGAGTGGTTTTGCGATTTTTGCGTATTGTGGCACGAACCTGTTGTAATAGTTAGCGAAGCCTAGGACCTGCTGCAACTCCTTCACGTTCTTGGGTGTCTTCCACGTACGTACAGCTTTGATCTTCTTGGGGTCGACGTGAACTCCTTGAGCGCTCACCATGTGTCATAGGAATTGGACTTTCTCAAAGGCGAATTCGTTCTTGGATAATTTGACGTAGAATCGTTCTCGTCGAAGAATGTCGAAGACGCGTCGCAGGTGTTGGACGTGCTACTGCATGTCGCGTGAGTATATGAGGATGTCGTCTAGGTAAAGCACCACGCATTCGTCCAAGAGTGGGCGTAGAATATGGTTGATTTCGGCTTGGAATGTTTCCGGTGCGTTGGTGAGTCCGAACGGCATTACCAGATACTCGTACGACCCGTACCGAGTTTGGAAGGCATTTTTATGGATGGAATTGTCCGCCATTTGTACTTGCCAGTACCCGGACCACGGATCTAGTTTGGAAAATACCATGGCTTCCAGAAGCTGGTCAAGCAGGTCATCGATTCGAGGGATTGGGTATTTGTTCTTGATGGTCTGCTTGTTGAGAGCTCGGTAATCGATGCACATGCGCAGGCTTCCGTCTGGTTTCGGTGTGAAGAGTACTGGGGCACTGTAGGGCGAAGTGGCTGGTCGGATGAGTCCTTTTGCGAGGAGATACTCGATCCATTTCTTCATGTCGACTAGCTCCATGGGGCTGAGCTGATATGGTGTTCGGAAGGTCGGCTTCGAACATGGTACTTCCACGATCTCGTATTGGCGCGTTCGGTATGGTGGCAGCTCGTTCGGAAGGTCGTCGGGAAGAATGTCTTGGAACTCCTTCAATAATTCCTTCATTTTTTGTGGAGGTTCCGAGTTTTCTCCCCGTCATTTTCCACCTCTGTTGCTATCGCCAGGAACCCGGTGTCGGTTCGCTTTACGTCCTTCTCGAATCGTACGAGTGTCTCCACCAGGATATCTCCCGTATCGTCCCAGTTGGGTAGCTGGACTCTCCTTCTATTGTTGTAGATGCTTGTGGTACCCCGTTGATCTCGGGGTTGTTTTTTTTTAGGAAGTCTCGCCCGAAGGTCAAGTCAAGCCCTCTTACAGTGGCGAAAACAATTGTCCGTGTGTTTTGCATAAATTTGGGTTTTTAGGCTTTAAGACCACTATACATTACGCCTTAATGTTTAATGGTGGTACGATTTGGGAGGGGCACATAGTGGATGTTTTCATAGCACAAGTATCAAGAATTGTACATTAGATCTACCTTATATGCCAAAAGATATAAAAGGGTACATCCGGACAAATAGTTCCAAGCCGAGAGAGCAAACTTCAAAAGTCATTTCTAGTTCCTAGCCCACCGACCTTTGGCCTTGATCACCGCCCGCACCCTCCTAGGCGAGCTGTCGATGAGGCTAGAGCAAACCTCGGCATGGATCTTCTCCCATTCGTCCCGGACCAACTCTTAGAGCTCTAGCATTTCAGAGGAAGGCCTTTTCTGGTTGGCTAGCTCCCTTTTCAGGTAAGCCCCAGAGGTTGAGGTTTGGTGAAAAAGAAGGCCACTCCAGGGCTACATACTCATGTTCTCCAAGTCATTCATGCACTAGGCATAACAAATTCTTGGGGTCATTGTCCACACCGAGATGACCTCAGAGGAGAAAATGCTATAGAAATGGAGGTTCAATTCGAGTTCGTCATGCAAAATGCCCTCATACAGGGGCCTCTCCATGCATCCGTCAATCTTGCATATGAACCCCACCCCGCACATGTCACACATCCCCACACCATCACCGATCCTTGTCCCCATGGTTTACCGTCTGTTTGATTTGGTGGTGTTGCAGGGTTGTGCCTTCACAAATCCAGGCAAACGCGCGGCCATTGGAGCTGAAGCAATTGATGTTGGTCCCATTTGACCATATCACATGCTTTCGAACACTAATTGTCCACTCCACGAATTGCAGCCGACCCCTGATTATTTTCCAGA